TCACAGGTCTTTACCATATTCACCACATTACCCGTTACTCCAGTTTTGTTGCACTAGTATTACCCTCCCAATCAAGAACCCCAGTGCTATCTGGGGTTGTTGGTGCTACCTTGCCAAACGCAGATTTACATGTGCAACCTATTTGCAACAAAACCTTTTGCAATGTCACTCATCACACTTAACACCAACTCTCTATGGTTAGATCTCCTTCTGGGAATTCCTATTCTAGATTTGTACTTCACTTGGACTTCCACGGGGCTCTGTGTTTAATTTTGGCTCCTTTAGGTTACAGAGTATTTTTTGCCTCCAGCCCGACTCAAACCATGGACCTTAACTTAATTACCATGGGGGTTTGGCAACTTAACAAGTAAGCTATAGGGCCCAAACCCTATATTAAATTTTAAAATTTAATAAATAATAATTTTTGATTTACTAATTCAATGATTTGACAACTAAATAGATTCTCTCAAAGAGAGGATTTTAATAATTCTAAAATTATAAAAATCTAATTACTGAATTCTAAAATCAATCTAAATTTGTATACTATTATATAGTATATACTATATATATGATATGTACCATATAATATATACTATATTATAGTATACAAATCTAGATTAATCTCAGAATCTAGTAATTGAATTTTTATTATATTAAGCTTGTTAGAATTCTTTCTTTGAGAGAATTATTTTGGTGGTTAAATCATCCAAATTGAGTTAGTAAATCAAAAGTTATTAATCATTAAACTTTATTAATAAATTTATAATTTAAATTAAAAAAAAAATTTAATTTTGGCCAGAATTAATAATTTTGGCTAGAATTGCACCCAATACTTTGGCTAACCCACCCACACACTCAAAAATCAGCTGATTTCTGGAAGCCCTCTTATAACTATGCAAGTATATATTAGTGCTCAGCACAATCAACCAAAAATTTAACAGTCAAATACTTGTTAATACTTGTGATTAAGTTAGACATCAAATGATTGCAGATTAACTAATAGTATATATTTAGCTTTGGTTAATTTGCAATCATTTAACATCTAATTAAATATAAATATTAACAAGTATTGACTATCAAATTTTTTTTGATTGTGCCAAGCACTAGTCTATATTATGTTTATAGATCTATATATAATTTTTAAATAAATATACATAAAATATTTACATAACTCTACATAAAAACAACTCCATGATGTAGCAAAAATAACAGTATATAGTAGTACAGATTCAGACAAACAGACTTATTGTTAATATAGACATATAAAATTCAATTTTTATAAATAGTCTTTTTTTATTAATAGTAAGATTTGGGGAAGTGCTAGTCTTGTCCTTTTTTTGTGTTAGAATAAGAATAATTTGTGGAGAAAATAACTTTTATTTGAAGATTTTACTTTTAGGAGCAATACTTGCTATCATAATTTCCTAGTACTTGGCAAAATCAAACAAAAACTCGATTATTGAGTTTTTGAATCTATCAGTTTACAATATTGTGCATTAAATACAAAATTTATTTTTAGATACAGTGTCCCCCTCTATAATCACGCTGTTTGTTTTACATAAAAAAGATGTGATTATAAAATTTTAATAGTAATGTGATTATATAGAGTTTTTTTAATAAATATATTGCCAATAATTTTTTAAAAAATAGTGCTTATAAAGAGAGCATGATTATATAGGTGACTATAGAGGAGGACAACTGTATATATAAATCTAACAGGAATCCGATCTTACTTTAGACTTAGTGGTAACTAACATGAAGTTTAAAGTCAATAAGAGTAAACATAAATTTTATAATTGAAGCACAATACTATAAATTGATAGATTCAAAAACTCGATAGTCGAGTTTTTGTTTGATTTGCCGAGCACTATAATTTCCATATGGAAATTAAGTCTGGTACAATGTAAATTTAAATTTTCAATTAAATGTCTTAATTTAACAACGTTCATATAATTCCTTTTAAAAGCAGCATTTAATTAATATTAAACAGGGTTTGTCCACTGTATATCTCAGACTCTGTAGAATTACTATAGTCAATTCATTTAAAAAATGAGATTAAAATTTCCTTTATTTCATTTTGATGACAAACTATTTATGCGTAGAGAACGGACCAAAGAAGGATAGAAAAATGAAAAGGGCAAAAAACATTATATTATGAAAAATATAAATTAAAAGATGTGAGAATAATTAAATTATAATACTCTTGCATCGAATTAACTACCTAGGCCTTTAAATATAGTGTAAAAACCGTCACAATATCATACGCATTCCATAATCAACGCTCTGAATATTAATTAAAATTGAACTCTTTACTAAGCGTTAGAGATATAAATTTAGTTTTAAGAATTTTTAAACTTAGATAAATCAATTGAAGGTTCAGCCATAAAGTCACCGTGACCACGTCGATAAAATTCACGTGCGTAAATTCCTTTTTTGGGTGAGTTCATAGATTCATCAACACTACGACGAGCAGCTTCGGTACCTCCGAAAGTATATACCAACGTCATATAATAGTCTACATTATTTGGATTAATGACTCCAATGCAATAATAATCTCTTGGGAGATTGTAATTATTATATTGTACAAAACGACAAACAGTACTACTAGATCCACAGTAGTTGATAGTGCCATTGGTAGAGTAGGGAAGAAGTACATATTGAAATCCACTGAAATCAGCACTCGAAGTACCATTCCCCTTAACAGATTTTCCTTCAGCAGGTGTGGTGGGAGTTCCACTAAGCGAATACACCAAGGAAAAATCTAAAGAAATAATATGAGTGAGTCAATGAGTAACAAATTATTTATACAATAATTCATCTTTTATTTACCTATATATGTAATTGTATATGTAGTGCATGCAAACCATATACCGTCATTTTTGGGAGCCAAAGACATTATCGTCGTGAAAGCGGAAACTCCAGTTGCAAAATAGATCTACAATTATTTTAAGTGAAATCGATTTTATTTTAATCATTTATTTTAAATGACAAAACATTTGGTTCATATGATAAGCGCTGCTATAATGAATCAATAATTCTGAAAGAAAAATTTGTTATACAAAATTACTATGTTTTAAAGTTCTTTCTTGCAACGTATCATGTGATCCATGCTTTGAGGCGCTTTGAGGCCACTCTAGCTAATTCTTTTTATTTTACCTGCAAGAAAAACAGAAGTGCGATAACCAAGAACTTTTTCATGATGTTATTCAAAAAAGGTATTTATTCAAAGTTATAGCTGTATTTCATTAATATCCAACAAGATGAAAATGTTGGATAAGGGAGAGAAAGGCGCGACATACAGGTATTTATATATTAGAAATCAGGTAGATTATTTGTTATTGCTATTAATGAAAAAAACTTTTATGGGAATTGTAATGGTCTTATGTATTTGTATCAATATATATTTAAAGGCAAATTACGTGTACATTTGAGGTTTAATTCATTGCATTGATTCATTGATACAAATAAAAATATTTATCCTCTGGAACTTCGCTAGTACATGTTAATGAAAATATTTGCAAGTAACTAAAATAGGATCATTACGGAGAGTTTACGGAATATAACTATTAATTTTAGGCTTTACTTTGCTTCGATTTATCCAGTGTTTAGTACCACATGTAAACACGTACATAATACGTACCACCTTAAATTAAAGAAATGATAACGCGTTTACTGTAAATTTTAGCTTTTGTAATTGTACGAAAGTAACGAGAGAATAATAGATTAGGTTTTGTATACGTTCATATTTTGCTCATTTTTAGAATGTTACCCAATATTTCTGTTCCAATTTCAACTAATAGTTATGACTTTAAATATCTGGCTTTTTAATGTTAGCCAATTATAAATTATCAATTTACGAACAAGAATAAAACTTACACAATAAAATGCCTCAAATTTTTGATTCTGTAAATATTAAATTATGTGTAAACGGTAATGAGACTAAAAAAGGAAAATTGATCAAATCAACTTTTAAAAATGATAAAATGAGCATTATAATACATGGCGTAGAATGTTTTGGGCTAAATTTTTTTCAAATTCAAAATATTTTGACATTATGAATTATTTTGGTTTTACTAGAATGCTATAATGGTTTCACTCTTTTAAAGCCTGAAATAATTCAAATATGTTCAACATTGCAATTTACTAATTTAGTAACACTTTCGGTAAATTCTCAACTAGGTCTGTTAATGGGTTGAGTTGGGATAGGTTTGTTTGTATTAATTTCAACCCAAACCAGCTCGGTATTAAGCTCTAATATAATACTCCAGTTTTGTCTTTAATTTTAACAAACTAAATTAATTATTTATTTGATATATTTTATAACTCATACTAAGTCTGGTTTGGGTTCAAATTGGAGCGCTTCTGAGTATAATAAACCAATTAACAACTTCTCAACAGTTTCTACGTCATATGTTTACAGGTGTGCACGATTACTGCGTGCGTGACATTACACGAATGCATTGAACATTGAAAAAATTATTTTTTTGTATGTACGTACAGAACATAAATTGACAAGTAGCTTATTATTATTTGGAATACAAATTATTACGTGCAATAAAAAATCCTTTAACAGTATATATTTGTAAATACAAATTTTTTATTTATCGATAATAAAACGGATTTATAAGTGGTACATACTTAATATCAGATATGAAATCACTTGAAATTTATAAACAATATCTAAATGTTTAGATCGTGGTGTGAACCTTTTTAAACTTAGTATTAGTATGTGAATGATAATTAGCCAATTGAAATAAACAAACATGAAAAGGAATTGAATTAAATTACACATGCTTGTAGTATGGTCGAAAGACATTTTTAGTTGCATTTTATTTATGTCTTTATATAGTATAGTGATATTCTGTATGAACCCATAATGATACGCATACTTAGTATAAATATGACTTCGAGTTACTAGAACTCGATAATTGTAGAAGATAGTTAGAGTATAATAAATTCTTATAATCTTAGCTGCGCTGAAATAAATAAAGGATATCTTCGGAATAATACCAAAATATTGAATGTTTTTCTAGAAGAATTGTGTGTTTTATGTATAAACAATGCTACATGCGTAATACTAAAATAACAACTTTCTAGGAGTAAGTTGTAATTTGAAATTGTATTCTAAACAGAATTTTCCTCGTGAAATTTTGATCTACATATTAATCATATCTTATGGCTAACCTTCGCTTTTCTAGAACACAGTGTCTATAATACGTAAAATATTATCCGTGTTATATCATTTTTATTTTTTTCTTTATTCAGTATTTCATAATTTATTTTTATTCCTTCTCTTTGTGTTCTTATTTAAGTGCATCAACAATTAAATGTGATATAAACATGAATGTTAAGGTATTAATGTGAACACGGAGATGGAATGACTGCTCCGATTAGCAGAATTTTGCCTTCAATAATGGTTAAACTATTGAGATAATGTGCGTCTACCCTATAAAATAGTTTGTTAAGTTTCGATTTTCCGAATACAAGTACGATATTGTGCAATTTTTATACTGCGATGTAAAAAAGAATTTTCGGGTTGACAACATTAGATATAAACACTGTACAAAATCAGTACAGTATATGGTGTGTTCAGAAAATTGACTCCTTTCAGAACATTTTTTAAACAAAAACAGAATGACTTAAAAGTTTTTAGAATATTGCCGACAGAATTTTTTTATAGGGCTATTATTTTGCATTTATTATCGTTTTCTCAAGTTTATAGCTATTGGATATTGAATTAGTTATTGTCATTAGAGATAAAAAAAACTTCGCATAAATATTGACTACACATAGTGTTCACATTCTTCGTTACTATTGAGATCACACTCTCTTTAAACCTATCCCTTAAACTATAGACAATTCCAGGCAAATTTGCCTGGAAAATTGCTATAAATTTGTTATGATTTACTTTTTTTAAAATTTAAAATATTTAAATAAAAATTTTTTTAATAATATTTGAAAATAAGGATTATATTATAGTAGTATTTAATTTTATATTATAAGAATAAAGGTTTGGGCTACTTATAATCTAAAAACAAATAAATTTAAAAAAAAAATTTAGCTAAAAAAATTATTTACAAATTCTTGATGAACTCTTGAAATATTAGTTTTAAATATATATTTCTTAATACAATATTGTAGTTTATATAAAGGATAACAACTTTTATTATTACACCTTTGATGATTTACTAATAAAAATTAAGACTTGTATTAGAAGCAAAATTTTTTTAAAGGTGAAAACATATAAAAATTTAAAAAAATTTAAAGAAAAATTTTATAGTAAAAATTTTTAAAGCAAGAGCTTTAAATTTTTTTTACTTTAAAGATTTCTAGCAAAATTAAAAAAATTTCATAATGAAGCTTATAGAATATATTTCAAATAAAATATTGTATATATAAAATATACTCTATACTATTAATAATTTTTAATTTTATTTAAAAAATTATAAATATTTTTTAAAATTCCAGGAAAATTTACCTGGAATATAGTTTAAGAGATAATATCTTGTCTCTTTTCCATGTTTAATTTCTTATTTAATTTCACAACTGTAATCATCATCAACTAAATTACTATTTAATTCATAATGTCTTATTACTGAGATTAGGATATTATCCAATATTGTTTGTAAAAGTTAATATATTGAAGTGATATACTTCCTGTGAGATCTTTTTTTTTTTTAATATTCAAGATAACCATTTAGACCCTTAGCACTTTATTAGTACTAGTGAGTATTACTGATTCAAAAATGATATATAATATGTTATAGTAGTATTATGAGATTACAACTAGCCACATGTACAACTTTTAGTTATAATTTAAGTAGTCCACCTTAAAATTCTACACTAGTAATTATACCTATAACCTAACTAGAAATCTATCTATTTAAACTCTCTGGCTTCAACCTCTGCACCATGTTTCTTCTAATATATCCTTTTAAAATAATTTGCTTTAAAAGACCCTAAGACTTTAGCCACTAGTTAATCTAGTTTCCCAAAAGGGTATTTATCCTTATAGTAAGCCTAACAAAGTAGTCCATGTTCTACACATGTATTTATCTACATGTTTAGTAACCTTTTCTAATTAATACCTGTTGTGCTGCTGCTATCAGATTCATGTTTCAAGCTTTTTTTTTAAATACTGCTATAACCCAATCTGTATCTCAAGCCACAACCTTTCTAATTAGTTTTTATTATATACTCCTGTTCTTGCAAGTTTCACAACAACCCCAGTACCTATATTCTAACTTCCTTCTTTTCCAGATTCTTTATTGATTACTTTCTTATTTTTAGCTAGCAACCTGGAAGAGTCAGTCTGTCTAGACTTTAAGTGCCTCATGGTCTTTCTTTTTTTGATATATGCTTCTAAAGCACAAGTTCTTTTCCTTTGATAATGAGCTTGTAGTTCAGCTAGTATATCTTCTCACTTAAAAACCTAATTGTTCAGTTTTCCAATCTTGGTCTCTGGTTTCAAATTCAGTCTTTCTATAACATTGTTAAAGATCACTGCTACTTTTAACTTGAGACTTCCCAAACAGGTTTCAATTATTGCAGTTTTTTGGCTTTTTATATACTAAAGCTCCTATATAAACATGGTATTACCAAGATTACAGGTTCTGGGACCCAACTGATCAACTATGATTATCAACATAATACAAGCTATTTTTTGAAAACATTGTCTATGGAAGTTGAACTCTAGACCTGCCATCTGAAAGTGCAACAACTCCACTACTTTACTAAATTACTATATCTGTGAGTTCTTTTTTCTTAGATATAAAACAAATAATATTATTATTGATTCTAAGAACTGATATTATGATCACTTAAGATTTCTCTGAAGATACTCCAAAACTATGCGCAGATATTAGATTTCATATCATGCTATTGCAATAAAATGATTTATTTTTGATCAAATTTGTAGATTACTACACACTTATACAATTACTATCAAGAATTTTTACAAATTTAGTAATTAATAATCGTACTCTATTTAGCAATAATTATCATTTAGATTATTTTAAACTTTATTTTAAATTGTTCTATATACTATACTGATTGACTAATCAAATTAAAAGCATATATTATACAATTCTTTTACAGTTTTAATATTAAATAGTAAAAACTATTAAACTTTAATGTAATAAAAACATATATATATATATATATAACTAACAGCATTCTAATATTATATTGTTTGCTATTTAATTATTACTAATACAAAAATTTACTTCTGTACACTTATATATGAGTTTTAGCTACTTATTTACAAGATCATATCTCATTACCATTGCATTGTAAGAGTTAGAAAATTAATAACCTAATACTGAACCTACTATAATACTAAGACTTAATTAGCTTAAGCCTTCTAGTTTTACAATTATAGTTAATATTATTACTCAGAATAGATTACTAGATTAGTATTGTCAGGCCCAGTTTAAGCAAATACTGAAGTATCTAGGTTATTATTTTTTATAACTTTTGCTGTCTTGTTAATGATCTTACTAACAGTATTATTTTTTTGTTACTGTATTGTTATTATTTGTCAATATTAATTATTTATAAGAGGTATTTTTTATGTTGATTAGAGTAGATAAGTATAGAAAATTAGATATTTAGAATAGATATTCAATTCTGCATTGGTTGGTTCTTGTTTTATTCTTTATAAAAGGTATTCTTTATATTAATTTGAGTAGAATTGTATAATAATAATTAGGCAATGGGTATTTAAAATAGGTATTTAATTCTACATTGGTCAGTTCTTGTTTTATTTTTTATCAAAATATTATTTTAATACAAAATTGTATCATTGTTGTGTAAAATTCAATCATATTAAATAAATAAAAAAATTAGATAAAATTTGTATACTATATATATATTCAGTACTGATATATAAATTTTAAGTTTTATGTATATGTACAATTACTTTAAGTATGTGTCTAGTTTTTTATACAACTCAAAAGAATTCAATCAAAATTAATTATGAAATAATAGCACAAATTAATATAAAACTTATAAAGTTACACATTTTGCAATTACTAAATTATTTTTAAAATGATTTTTATTTAAAATATTTTTATATATTTGTTTATTACAGAATTATTATACATAATTCTATTATGATTTCTATATTTCTATACAATAACAATTCAGCACTTTACTGCTCTATACAAAAAATAAATTTTTTCTTACTATAATTTTTTCAAAAATAACTTAGAAAATACAATAAAAAAATGCTTTACTCATTTTATACTTTATTATTAATATTAATGTCATTGTTAGCTAATATATTTCTAATTTCTTGAAGAATACTTATTAAGTTATCACAAGACCTATTTGACAAATCTCAAAAACATGATCAATCTGTATCATCTACAAGAGGAATTAAAGAGTTAATAATAGATAAAATTTGTGATCTTGTTAAAAAACTATTAGTTTTTTGAAGGTCTGCCTCTTTACATATTATAGGTATTTGATGCCAAATACCTAATAAAATTTTTTTAATTAGTTTTGTTTTAATAAACTCAATTCTCTTTGAATATACAATTTTACTAAATTATTTCATTTCTTTACTTAGTATCTATTCTTCACTCATATTTTAAAAAATATAATTATTAACATTTGGATTTACAAACTGTGATTTCCTTATCTGAGCTTGAAATTAACATAATTCAGAAATATAATTAGGATGTATTTGAGGTTCATAGGTTTTATTTTTAGAATATTCTATTAAATTAAAAAGATTAGTATATAAATTTACAAACTTTGTTCAATTATGAGCCACAATTTCCTAATGCTATTGTAAAGATATTAAAGAAATTAAAGACTTGAGAGATTTATTTATCTCTTCAAGTATCACATTATGGCTTGATGTTGATTTAAAAGTTTAAATCATGAAGTTACAATTCTTTCTTGAATTATGTTATAAAGTTTAGATCTTAAATATAATATTTGCTCTCTATTATAAATCTTAATTAATTAATAAATTAGATAGTGCCAAGCAAACTAAATAGGTGCAAATATTTGTCTTGCCACAAGTCTTAGTGAAGGTCTATTAAAATAAACTCTAGTGCAAAAGTTAATAATTGATTGCAAATAAACAAAGATTTGCTTATACTTCAATTTAAATATAAAATCAGTTTGATTTTGAGCCCATTTTAAATAATCTTTAACAGAAAAATTTTTCTCAGAAATAATATATAGCCATATTAACTTAGAAGCTATAGCTTGTCTATATATGTTATATACCAAATCTCATAACTTATAATGATTAAAACACTTTTTAAAAAACTGAAGTTAATTCTTTGTTTGATATTCTTAATATTGAGCAAAATCTTTTATATTGATATTCTAATTTAATTTGACAAATGCTTTTAGCATATTCATTTCTTTATAAAGAGCACCTGGAATTAATATAATCCAAGAAAAATCTTTTTTTATTTTTAGTATATGATGATACAGTACATTATTACAAGCAACTACAACCTATTTATAACTATTTTTCTTAACTTTAGACATTTCTTTAATATGTTTAATGACTTTTCAATTGTTAGCAATTGAGTTAGGATTAACTTCTATTGGATCAGAAACGAATACTTGTGATATATAAACCTCATGAGCTAAACATTGCTTACTTGATTTTCTAAAAGTATAAGAATTAATAGTTAGAGACTTGTTATTAGTATTTACTATATTAGATGATTTATCAAATTGCTGATTTATTTTAGTAATTATTAGTAATATATTATGGTATATAGGACAAACTTGTTTTTTGTTATTGATATTGAAGATATTACAAATCAAATATTTTTTTATACAACCTGCCTAACTTTGATTATATATCAAGTTATCAATTATATTTATTTTTTAATTTTTTTTAATACAAAGTTCTTCTAAAATAATTGAGAAATAATTAATAAGTAATATTAAATAAAATAATTCTTCATATTGCTTTTGGATAAGTTTGAAATATAACAAAGGATCTGTAATCTGAATATAGTTATTTAGAAACTTAAAAACAACAAAGCTTATAATAGTATAAAATATAACTATATTATGCTTATGATTTAAATAATTTTTTTAGTCTTTTTGTTTATTGTTAAAAGCCAAAAATAGAAGACCTTTGGGAAGTGGTAGCTGCTCTATAACTAAATTTTCTAATTAGTTAGTAAATTTTGTATAGCTATTTAAAAAAATAAAATATCTTAAGTATTTATAAAATTAAAAAAAAAATTGTTTTATAACAAGAAAAAACATATACTAGAACTAATAATATAATTGTCAATATTCACAATCATTCTCGATCTTGCCAATAAATATTTAATTGCTGAAGTAGCCAAATTGATTGTAGAAATATATTTTAAAAGCCTTGATTTATATATAGCATCAATAGCTATAGCACTTTTAAAAAGCTTCTCTTTATTTTGTTGTTTATTTTCATTATGAGTAAAAGTTTCTATAAACTTTACAACAACTGGATTTCATTTAGCAAACTATTTGAAAAAAGAATATCCTAAGAGGCTATTCAAAGAAAATTGCTTTTGATTTTTTATCAATCTTATTATATTCTCATACAAATTATTTCACTCTTTTTTAGTGATTTCTATAATAGACTGAATATGATTTTGTTGGTTAGTAAATCTTTTATATAACTTTTTTTTTAACTCTTCATTTTCAGCTAATAATTGCCTATTAGCACTTTCAAGCTTACTAATCCACTCTAAAAGACTTTCATATATTAGATCTGGCAAAGGTACTTGAACTCTAAAAACAATAGAGGTTAGATTAATTTGAGCACCAAAATTGACAGAAGTTGAATTAACTTGAACACCAAAATTAATAGAAGTTGAATTAACTTGAACACCAAAAATAATAGAAATTGGATTAACTTGAATCCAAAATCTGTAAAACTTTTTTTATTAAAAAGCTTTACTCTTTTTTTTTTGCTCTTATATAAATTTAATTTATCTGTTAATTGCTTGATAAAGAAAATTTAGCAGCAATCTAATTGTAATGCTATTTACATAAAGAGTGACTTTTTGAAAATTCAAGAAATGAGATTAATTTAGTAAAATACTTAGCCAATTTTGTTAGCTTTTTTATTATTGTATTAGCTAAAGTATTTCTTGCAATAATTCTATATAATTTGTATACTTGGTGCTAAATTAATCAATAAATATAATTTATTAGCCAGAAAATAAAAAATTTAGAATTAGCTAGCTAGTTAGCTAAGCTGCTATAGTTGACTATATTGGCTATAGCTATAGCTAATTAGCTAGTTGACTACTAGCTAAGTGAACTCATCTTTAAGCACAAACTAGCTTTATCATATATTATAGATACTAAAGTGATAAGTTCTGTAATAAAATTTTTAAAGTATCTCATCATAGAAATTATAAAATTTCTAATACAAACTAACTACATATAATTGTTTTTAAAATAGCAAATAAGTTTTGTATCAAAATTTTATACAATAACTTTATAAAAATTATAACTATATATTATAATTACTAGAGTAAAAGATTTATCAACAGAATACTTTATAATAATTTTAATAGTAAAAATTGTAATAATTTCAATATAAACAAACTCAATTGTTATATTAACAAGTAAATACTATAGCAATTTTTTTTTTAGTAAATAAATTCTAATAGATCATAACTACATATCATATATACTGTGATAGTTATTAATTTCTGTATAAGATGAGTGGTGTTTTGCACCACCTATTGTACTAGTATATAATCATGCTATCTTGTATAGTTACTCTAATTCAGTTAGAGATTTTTTAAAATTTAAAGATCATTTCTAGAATAATCTAAATCATGCACCAACATGTAATTGGCACTTAGTAATACTTACTAATCTCTTTTTATAAAGAAATTTATGACTTTTCTCTAATCTAGTACCAAAATAAAGGTTAAGTCTAACCATTAAATTATATATTTTTTGACACATATTTTTAGAATCTGTGTAGTCCCAAAGTCTTAACAAATTAGTTTTCCTTAAATTGACACAAATTGAATCAATAAATAACAGATACATATCAGGAGACAAATCTCCTAATATATACTCATTATTCTACTACATATCTACCAAATAACTATAGCATATTAGTAGCATATTAGTAGTATATAGGTTAGATATTAGGTGGTAGATCAATAATGATAATATAACAGTAACATACTAGAATATCCCAATATCTTACTTTTAGCACTTTTTGGATAAGAATAAGACATCAGAATATCTTGATATATTACTATAATATTATTATTATTGATTTATCTCCCAATATTTAATCTATATATTACCAATATGCTACTGATATATTACAGTTATTTGGCAAATATGTAGCAGAATAACAAATATATACCAAGAGATTTGTCTCTTAATATATACTTGTTATTCATTAATTCAACCTGTGTAAAGTTTAAATTATACATATTTTATATATTATTTATTAATAAGGCTACACCAAGTTAAAACTCTGTTTAACATAACCCCCCCCTCTTTTTGACTCAGATAGAGGGGGTAATAAACAACACTTA